AATGTTCCTGTGCTTAAGCATCACATGAAATATTCCTGTACTCAAGCCAATGCCAATGTTGGAGTGACAGCTGAAGTCACAAAACTGATGTCAAGCCAACCATAACCAATTCAAGCAAGAATGCAGTTGACATTAACCTAATGACACTACTGAAATATATTTATTTTGAATGTGATATCTTTGTCACTTTAGACTGATAAAGAATGTAAGCATCTGAAATGCTAATATATCATTCAAACCATAATTATTTATATGTGAAAACTAAATAGATTTTGACAAGAACCTATTAATAACACAAAAAATGTCAAACTAACCATTCCAGGTTTTAGCCAATAGTCATGTAAGAATCTGATATGGCCACTACTTTTTATTCACAATTCAACCAATGGCTACAGAAAGATTAGATAAGTGGTCAGCATCCTACGGCATGCATGCCACAAGGTGATACGTCAAGAGGTTTTGTGTGACATAGAAAGGGCAGCCAAAAATCTTGATTTTAAGTTACTCTCTTACTGGTGGCTCTTGCTCATTGATTTTGCAATTAATCAAGAAAAAACAGGCATTATTATATGCTCATCTTTTTTCTCCATTAACTTTACATTGTCAGAATCGTTCAATATCTGCCGATATTGAACACCTTCATATTGTACCCCCACGTGACTGATGCACGTGAATAAAGAACTACTTTCTATAGTAAACAAACAATGGACGCAGACGCCAGTACTTTAGATTTATTGTTTGTCGGTGGATGAAGTAAACCAACTGTTTGAACCATTTGAAAGTAGAGATGCCAAAATTGAGAATGTGGATGAATTCATAGAATCACAGAAGAAATTTTCAACGAAGCTGGCGATTGAACGTGATATCAGAAATGTTCAGCGACGGCTGTATGAAATATAAACAAAGAAAAAAGGAGTAACAATTTTTTAGACAATGCAAAGAATAAATGAAAATAAAATTACATAACATAAAACAAAAAATATGGGGAAAATCCGTAATGAATTGTATAATCTGCACATACCAAACCGTTTTCACAATGAAATGCATTAATCAACATTGCCAAATATAAGAAAACTGTTTTTTATGGCAGGTGCATTGGATTATTGAATTAAATATAACATATTCGCGATGCAAATATTAAAATTTGCAGGCATTATCCGAGTTCAATGGGGGTTAATCAGCTTGGAACTCTGATGAAACGAGCAGCCGAAAGTGCACAAATCCAGGGGAGAATTACCAATCATTCTGTAAGGAAGACTACTGTGACAAACCTTTCAAAAGCTGGGGTCCCTCCAACAAAGATAACGCAAGTGACTGGGCATAAAAATATGTCATCTATAACTGGTAATAGTAATGAGAATAAATCTACTTGCCTTTTGGCCTCTTTAATCTCCTCAAAATGTACTTTGTACTTTGTGGACTCTTTCTGCTAATAAGAATTACGTATTTCCAAATACTGTTACACATCTGTGCACTATAATATATAGGCCTATAGAATCCAGACTACAATGTTGAAATTGAAATCACATTCCATAGTTGACTGTACGGAACTCCGCAACAAATGAATCTGTTGTTCACAAAAAATAAACAATATTGAAACAAGCATCTTCTTAAGAATTTGTTTAAAAACTTTCATATTTTTCCAGTTTATGATTCCAAACTATCCATGGCAGAACAGAAACAGTTATGCAGATTGTTGTCATCCCCAGTCCCTAAAGTCACACGTACATCGTGCGGAAAACACACAGACGGAGATAATCAGAATTTGGCTGTATTGACAGAGAAACAAAATCTCTCAATTCCTGACCAGCTGGAAACTTTGTTCAATGGCGCAGTCATTCATAATATGACTTTAAATTTCAATTTCAGATAGACCAAAATGGGATTTCTTTTTTAAAAGAGCAAGCGCGCGGTACGCTATGAAGTCAAAAGGTCGATGGGTGGAGCTATATGCGCATAAATACTATTATTGTGTATTGAAAGAGAATTTACGATTGTCAACTTATTTATTTTAATAATAAAATAGTAAATTTTATTATTAAATATATTTTGTTGTGAATTTTATTATTAAGTCTTTGGTAATGAAACAAAAATGAGCATATAATAAAAAGGTTACTACATTTGAATGGGAAAATATGAACTCGTTTTTTCGGATGGCTATACTGCACTCCCAAGGTCGTGCAGTATAGCTATCCGAAAAACTCGTTCATATTTTTCCATACAAATGCAGTAACCTATAATTATATGTAACATAGGTTGCCAATACCCCCAATTAGATCATAAATGCTTATAAATGCAGCATTTACTTCAGAATTTTCACATACAAATTGGCAGTGATGATGTGTCATGATAGTGGCATTATGTTTCATTAGTCACATGTATGTAGATTACACAGGTTAAAAAGCTGTTGTCATAAGGCGTGCATCCAAGTTATTGCCAGTGATACAAATAACAAGTTAAAGTCTAGCTATTACTACTGATACATACAAGTTACAATGTATCTAATGATGTTGATACCTAACAGGTCACAATGTAGCTACTGCTGCTGATAAATGTAACAAGTTACAATGAAACTATTACTACTGATACACATAACAAATTACAATGAAGCCAATGCTACTGATACATATAACAAACTGCAATTTAAGTAATGTTACTAATACACTTAACAAGTTACAATGTAACTACTGCTACTAATGTATATAACTAACAATGTAGCTACTGCTACTGATACATATAAATTACAATGTAACTATTGCCACTGATAAATGAAACAAGTTACAATGAAACTTCTAGTGATGTATCAAACAACTTACAATGGAGATATTGCTGATATTCACATCAGCAGTTACAATGTAGTTAATAAATTTACAATGAAATTACAGTTTCAATGAAAATAATAACAGTTTCAAGGTAGTTAATACAGTTACCATCTAGTTAATATAGTTACAATGTAGATAATATAGTTACCATGTAGTTAATACAATAAATGAAATAATAGGTCTTATGTTATCAATTGTCTTCTAAAAAACTTACCTCCTAAGCTTGTCAAACCAGTGTCCCTCTTTTGACCCCAGTATATGAGTATCTGCAATGAACATGGCCCTTAAGGGAGCTTCTGACCCTTCTGGTTGGGTTGTATCCATGGTAGCAAATTGAAGAGTAGGCCATGTACATGATAACAACACCATGTAATAATGGAAAAACTCACAGTAGAAAAATAGAAATAAAATAAGAATAATTGTTCGTACAAGTTTTCTGGTTTGAATGAAAAACCAGAGTCGAGATGGAAGCTGGCAACAGAAGGTCATCATTCATAAATTTTGGAACTCCACATTTCATCTTCTAGCAATGATTTGTTGGATGTGCAAAGAACTCTGCATGGATCTGAAATCTGCTTCCATTGTGTTGCTTTCCAACATGAGATGTGCTTTACCTGAAATATATACTGTATGTACAATATATCAAATCAGATTTCTCAAAAATAAATTAAATTTTTATCAAGGTTTTGTTTTCATTAACAGTCTTTTCAAATAAGCAACTAAAAAGAGCTAGAACATTATACAATTACACTACTGGCAAGTGTGATATGCCTACGTCAGACATGATCCTTTTCACTGTTAAGTGCTAGGGGAAACAAACCACAAAAGCTTGACATTGGATAGTCTTTACATGTTACACTGAGGTCAGGTGGGGTTGTCTACTGAATTATCTTTAGTATATGGATCTAAACTGAGATCAGTTACAAATGATCACTGCTGAACTAGTTTTAAAAGCAAATATTTTTTTTTACAAAAATGTTTGCTTGTTCTGATGATATTTTATGAAAGTAAATCTCCAAACCATTAGGTCTGATAATTTTAAGTGTGTTCAAAACAAAATCATATGACCATTATCTTGAAAAGCAGTTTTCATCGTAAATATTGAAACACATGTAATCCAACTTATTAAGTTAATGCATATTATATACACATTGTGGTTTTATACTTATAGTATTTATTCATGTTTCATTACACACACATACACACACACACACACACATACACACACACACACATACATACATACGTGTATATATATATATATATATATATATATATATATATATATATATATATATATATATATATATATATATATATATATACACATATCATCTAAATGATAGAGTACCTAGACTGCATTCTACATTGTTGTAATTACAAAGCAAATATTCTTCAGTAGTTGCCACTTAGAGAATCAATATAATTTTTATGTCATTACTAAAGCTTGATTAGAAACATTTCCAAACTACGCTATATGAGGTAGTTAGAAACAAGTGTAGATGACAATATATGCGCAGACATACTTACACCATAGTGCTTATTGATAAAAACAATAGTGCTCATTAATAAAATCCAAAGTGCTCATTAATAAAAACCAAAGTGCTCATTAATAAAAACTAAAGTGCTCATTAATAAAAAACAAAGTGTTCACTTATATTACAACCATATTTCTTATGGGGTAGAGAGAAATTCAAACTAAATGTGAATCTGTTCACTTTCAGTATCTTCTCAAATTTTGAAAAATATAAAATGTAATTGTTAGTTCTAGAGTCAGCTTACTAACTACTTTACATATTACAGTGATCCCCCTCTTGAACCAGTGGCCATCTGCTCCGTACAGCCTGAATCCGTTGGAACCGATGAGTTCAAAAGTACCCCTCATGAAAGGCCATCCTGCTAATGCGACCAGCGGCCAGGATATTAGTGCGAAAATATAAAACTTTACCCCTCACAAGCAGCCAAATTTTATTTTGTAATAAGTATCCAGAGCCAGTATTTTATTCTATTACAATTTCTGTTCCCGGATGTCAGGTTTTCGTTACTGAAAGAAGTGTTGTCTAAAGTACAAGTACCACTAATGTTAATGTTAAATCATTTACGTCTTATGAGAAGCCACATTTATTCCATATTGCCTAGAGAAAATCAAATTTTAATCACTACAAAAAGGTAAGTACAAACCACACCGGTGGCCTAGTGGTTAGAGCATCCGCCTTGGATGTGGAAGGCTGTGGGTTATATCCCCAGTTGAGTCATACAAAAGTCTTACAAAAAAAGTACTAACAGCTGCCTCACTTGATGCTCAGCATTAAGAGGTTAGTGCTAGGACTGTTGGCCTGATGTCAGGATAATGTGATTGGGTGGGACATCATGCTACATGTCTGTGGCATGATGCTCCAGTGCTAGACATCACAATAAACTGCCACACTGCAGACATCATAGCAATATGACTGAAAAATTGTTAAAGCTATGTTAAAAATCATAATCACATCACATCACATCACAAGGTAAGTAAACATAATCCAATTAGCCTTACTGCTGTGTTACCATGAGATGTCCAGTTTAGTCACGCTGATAATTGTTAAGATTACAATTATTGAACAGTAGTAACAGCTGAGAAGTGGCAGTATTGATGTACAATACCCAAGTCGGCAGGAAAATGGTTTGATAGCCTTTATAGCTTCCATTAGTAAGATGTTGAGCTTGTTCACTTTCATAATTAGTGGCTATTACTAATGACAATAATTTATTGTTTCCTTTATAAAGAAGGCTTTTTGACCGCTCCACAAAAGTTTTGTCTGCATAATTAAATCGCATACAGTTAGCAACATTCAAATAAATCATTACCAAAAATTAACATGTCATCATGTAAACAGAGACAATTATTTCAGATAAAACTTGTTATTATAGTTTACGATAGTATGTAAGGTGGGGAGGGGAACTTGCTGAACAATTTTAGGTAAAAATACTCAAATAAAACAATTTTATGTTGAAAAGACTCAAATACACAAAATCATAACTGATAAGGAAGTTATGCAGCAGCAGTGGGAAAATCGAGTAATTGGAAAGAGAACTATGTATGTACAAAGATATTAATGATGTTTTTGAATGGTTTTGTAATGTGAATGACAACAGCACTCACTCGCATATCATGCAGATGCCAAGAATAAAAATTAGTAAGGTATATTCAGCTGAAATAAGTTAATTATTACAACAAGAAGAGCCTTTTAATAATGAATGTTACTTTTAAAAGAAGATATTAAATGAAGATATTAAATGCTTTGAAGAATGAGTTTTCTTACTACGTTCATTACATACACTTGTCACAAAAAATTTAGCCCTTCTCTGGAAAGGCCACTCATCTTATAAGGCCACTTTCTTGGTGCAGAAGGGTTGGCCGTATAAGAGGGGGACCACTGTATACCTATATAATCTAGGTTCTTCTATCAGTTAGAATTTAATTACAATGTATAGGCACCCATACATGTTAAGTAATATAACCATATTTGCAAGTGTGTATATAATTTATTGTTGATTACAATTGTACATTCCCTTAATGAGCACTTTTGTAATGGTCAATCAACTATTAAAACACACCTGTATGTATTTGAGTTTGCTTTGTTGGCAGTATTTAAACCCAATGCTATTCATTTTGCCTAGAGATATAGCACAGGACTAATGGAGCAATTGAAAGGTTAGTAAATAATATAACTCGACCAATATCTAAAACAATTACAGGGTGTTTTCACTTTCACCAATATCTAAAACAATTACAGGGTGTTTTCACTTTCCTTGTAGTGAAAGGCATTTTTCAGTGACTTAGTCATCCCATCATTTGGAAGCATGATTCCTTGATTCATATTCAAAATTAGCAAAATTTTTACAGGACAAAATAACAAGGAAGACTGCAAATCTAAATATTAAATATTTAGATATGTTTTGGTGTACTATTTTTTAAAAGACTATTGTTAGCAAGTGAATGAGACTTCATGGAAGGCGATCCACATTAATTAAAGGTAACCTGATGACTCTTATGTATAGGCAAGATACTGATTAATAACTTTTGTTAAATGAGCATTGTCCTCTACTTTTCACACCCTATAGTTCTGACCAGATTCTTTCACAATGGTGTCGGTTCACCCAAACAATGAAAATTATCAATCTAGAAGAAGTTTCATGCAAAGATTATGTTTTCAATTACACATTGTGTGCGCCATTAAAGGATCACATTCTGTATAAATGATGTTACCATGTTTATTTAAGAAATTGTGTTGGACATATTTTATATGATTGGAATGAAAATTATCTCTTCTCATGAAATGTAAAATTGTTCATTAAATAAAGTTAATAAGAGATCAAAATCTATTTTAATAAGTGATGTTATTAAAACATAGGCTCACACTTGAAAGGATTAGATCAGTTAGCAGGTCAATGCCAATTAATACTATGCAGTGATGTATGAAGCGCCTTATTTACTACTCATGGCAATGAGTACCCTCACAGGACAAAAAGTTTTCTAACACTCTGATATGATTAAAGGTATTAGCTTGCCCAACACCAATTGTCTTTACAACCAATGGCTGGGTTTAGTAAATTTTGTTTATTTTATATAACTTGATTTATTTTTTACTTTAATAACCAAGAATTTACAATACCTGATGTGCAACAGGAATATACTGAATCTGAGCCCATCAAAAAGACTGCTGCTCTCAAATAGTTCCTGACAAGTTTTGACTGTTATCAGTAAATAATTTAATGACTTTCAAGCAGTTCATTGCTCGAAAGTAAAATTATAATCAAACAGGAAATCAAAAAGGGATGAAACTAGAAGGTATACCAAATATTTCTCCTAGGTCATAGCATTGATTTTTAATGGTAAATTTAATGAACAAATAAACGCATATATATTGAACTTCAATACATTAAATCATAATTATTTCAAAAAATTTAAAATAGTGCATGAATAAAAGGAAAGATTATAATGCTGAAAAAAGTTAAGAAATTTGTAATATGCTACCTATAGTTACTGTAATTAATAATTATTATCACCACTGGCAAGATTTTAAATTTGTTCCTGAATATAATCATGCTGTCAATTTCCATGATATCTGTTTAAATTACACATTTTAAGATTAAAGTCCTTTTTGGAAATAATTATCATGCCCCTTTTTGTGAGGGAAACATTAAGCAACATCTTATTTTCAACCAAGATTAAAAGCAAAACATAACAATGAAAAAACACATTTAAAAAAACAAAAAGAAAACCTTAGAAATTTTTTTTAAAAGTATTCAAATTCTTATGCATTTTCTTCCTTCACATCATTGATAACAATGGTTTATTACCAATTTTGAAAAAAAAAAATTAGTATTGACAATTCATCTCATTCACCAGCTTTTATAAAAAGACCAATCCATTATTGTTATATTCACATCAAGTACATTCACATGTCAATTTCTAGGCAATTATTGCAGTTTGATTATAAACGTAATAACAAGGTAGTACAGGATTATTTTTTTTTGTAATGTAAACAACCTTCATTGTGACAACTCATCTGGTGATATTCAATATTATTTGTACTGAATCACACCAGGCCTGGTCCAAAATTTGCCAAATGTATTATGCAATGTGTGCAAATAATGGCCTTCCAGAGAAATATAAAATTATAAAGCTGCACTAAGGTGAATAATAGCCATTTAATGGTAAGTGTAATCAAAGTCTAAAAACTGACAACCGTTACTTAAATAGTCTCAAATGACCGTCTAATTGACTCTTGTAAACTTCTACTTTAAAAAATATACATTAATGCCCATCTTAATGTTTATCAAAATCCAATAATATGCTGCAACTATGACTATAACATTTGCTAATAAATACATCCCCTTTCACTAAAAGCTGGGAGCTACTGTGTGTCGTAATCCTATAATTTAAGATTTAGACTCGGAAGGGTGTGGGTGAATGCAAGGCTTAGACCAACAAGTAGGTCTCTGCTTTTTTATATCTGACAGCAACTGTATATATATATATATATATATATATATATATATATATATATATATATATATATATATATATATATATATATATATATATAAGCAGAGACCTACTTGTTGGTCTAGTGCAAGGTTTTTATTGTTAGACTGTGTCTGACCTAAAAAAAAACGAATAATAAACATAAAGACTATGGAACTTCTCAACTGATTTTTTATGTTAATAAGACCTTTCTGAAAATCATAACGATTAAAATGATGTTTTACGTGCAAAATCAGTAAATTCTAACGCAACGGTAGTTTCAAATTCAGCGACAATGGGCGCAGCCATTAATATCGTATACTGGACGAGACTAAACTGAATGACCCTTAGAAGGAGAAGCACGGAATAATTCGGATCCAAACCTCGATGCGGTCAGCACCAGAAATATGTCTATACCACAGAAAATATTTGAAATTTTAGTTTTCAGTATTAGTTATATAAGGGTATTGGGGACGTATGGTAATTAGCATTCGTCCATATGTTTACATTGATATGGCTGTATGTGGATAATCAAGCATTATCTTTTTTTATTATTATGAAAGCACACTCCTTTACTAACCAAATCACATGCCACATTATCCACCACCACCCTCATTTTACTGTCCATGCACATATTGAATTTATCGAACAAAACTAGTAGGAGTGTTTATACACACACACACACACACACACACACACACACACACACACACATTATCCACCATCCTCATTTTACTGTCCATGCACATAGTGATATCATCGAACAAAACTAGTAGGAGTGTTTACACACACACACACACACACACACACACACACACACACACACACACTCACACACCTTACATACACTCAAACATACCATCACATATAAGGGTAGGCAGTGTTTACCGACACGCTACTATACCCTTACATACAAGAGAAGGGGTAAAGGGGTTTTAAGTTTTGTTTTGAAACAGCATGGACATACACATACTTTCTACTACTACTTTCTCAGCAGTTTTCGCACCTCCCAGATCGAACACGCAGGCTGCACATATTTGTCCACAGTTCATTCCTTTTTTTCCTCCACGATGCCATGGTGGAAATCACGAATTTCAATCTAGAATTGTTAGACATAGACATAGACAACTATTATTTAAAGTCGGAGCTGTATTGCCTAATAAGAAACATTAGCTTGTTCGGGCTATTTTGCTGACTGTAAACAATAATATACCAATTAATTAAATATATATAGTACTTAGGATC